GTATTCCTTGCTAATATACTTATTTAAAGATCCATTAATGAAATTATAGTGTTGAAACTGTTTAACAATCATTTTGAAAATGTTTCGTCATTTTTTGAGAATAACGTAAAAATCCACCAAAATTTTTGATGTTATAGGCTATTCCCTATGAATTTTTGAAAATTTTAAACATGTATTATTTGCTATTATACTAATTTAAAAACCTATTAACTAAATTATAGTGTTGCAACTGCTTACCAATTGTTTTGAAAATGTTTTCTCGTCTCATGAAGATATCGTTAAAATCCATATAATTTTTGGAGGTTATAGGCTAACCTCTATAAATTTTTGAAAATTTCAAACTCGTATTCCTTGCTAATATACTTATTTACATACCCATTAACGAAATTATAGTGTTGAAACTGTTTAACAATCATTTTAAAACTGTTTTGTTATCTTCTGAAAATAACATCAAAATCAACCAATTATAATTTGGTTATTTAATTTAGTTACTGTGATTGTTTAATTTATTTTTATACTATAAATTTAACAAAAAGAATATAGGATACATAATTTTTTATCAAATCTTTTTTATTAAAATCATTAATTTTCATATATATAAATTATATAGGTAATTCCCTAGTTTTTATTTAAGTAAAAAATAGAACATTAATAATAGTTTATAGTTTATTTAATAAAATATATATTATATATTTATATGGACTAACATTTACAACATGTTTCTCTTTAATATATAGAGGATTGTTTTTTTTTTACTAAAAAGATATACTGCTGCAGTATAAGGAATATTGCTGAACAAAAAAAAACAGATTTAGTTTTTCTTAATACAAATTACTTTAGTTATCTTGTTAAAACGCATTTTTGCATGGGGACCAAGAGAAGGAATATTGCTAACGTCAGAGTTTGGGTATATGTATATCCCTAACGATTTCCAAATCGCCACACAATTCTTGGTTACTTCCTCCGAATATCGCTGTCCCGTTATCGGCAGTTTCATCGTCACCTTAATAAGTTTCTCAAAAAAAACCTAATTAAGAGCAAAACAATCATAAATAATGTGTTTCCATAAAAATCATACGTTGTATACACCACAAAATATATACCATCAACAGAATAATTAATTATTTATAACAAATCAGAAATCTCCTTATGAGTTATGTCTACATGGTTTGAGTTTGGGTTTAGGTTCGAATGTTTCGATGATGATAATGTTTGATGATAATAATGAAAAAAGTTTTCTTGGGTTGAGTAATAATTATAAAGAGGAGGTGGATAGCAAAAGTTAGGTGACGATTACAAGTGTTAGTTACCATGTGGCGCGCGCTTCTGTCCATAAATATTTGAATGGAAGATTCAAAAATCAGTATGGTGTCGAAACTTTAGAGCTCGTTTCACACCTGGTTTACAGTAATGCTGTTTAATGATAACCAACTAATGTATGTTTTATTAGTTTTGTAAAATAAAGAGTAAAATGTTCCCCTTGTTTAAAAGTATACTAGATTTTGATCCGCGTAACCGCGCATGTATTTATTTTCATTTATAGTTAATTATATAAAAAAATGTTTTCATTTGTAAATTGATATATATTATAGTAATCACATATTTACGACATGTATAGTAAATGTTTTTCAAACATAATAATATTATATAATACATGTTTTAATCAAATAGATTGTTTCAAATTTTTTATATTATACATATTTTTCAAACATGTGTTTGTTTCTTTTCTATATTTTATTGTTTGTTAGATTGGTATTTCAGTTTTAGATAAAGTAATATAAATAGAGCTTGATTAAATATTAAAATACTTTAATTTGCAAAGATAATATAAATTTGAAAGAAATTTTTGCTAAAAACTAAACTTATAGCTTCATAAATTAATATTATAAAAAAATTTATTAAAAAATATTTTTTTAAACAATTTCTTTTTTTAAGACAATATATTTTTAAAAATTTACATCGAAATACATTTATCTAGTACATATAGTGTGTAAATTTTGTTAGGGTATATAAATATTCCATATTACGAATATGTGATTTTTTTTAATATATTGTGGATGCATTTAACTATTATTGACATATTTCCTTATAAATAATAGAAGATTCCTAAACTTATGTTTATTGACATATTTTGCCTGACTAAGTTGGAAGGTGTGGGATAATTAACCAAAACCAAATTGTAAAGCGTATTAAAGAGTTAATGTAACATGACTTTCTAGTAATAGTACATTTTTAAAAAAATCGCACATGAATTCAAGTCATGACTTCTGTTTTAATATATAAGATATTTAATTTTCAAACATTAAAACATACATGAAATCTAATTATTAATTATATATAATTAGTACAGTATTTTGTATTATTAATTATTTTTACATCAATAGTAAACAACAAAATTGTTTCAACCATATCGGATTTTTATAAACAAATTTAGATTACAGTATCTAGTGATCTATGTAAAGATTGAATGAAACTATCTACTTTATTAAAATAGAAGTACCAATATAAATTATCTCTTAAACTTAAAATTTAGTTACAATTTTGTGTCATTGAAGTAATTAAATGAACATATATTTAAATAATCTTTGTCTTTTCCAAAATTAATGAAGTAGTCATTACTCCTAATTTTATGCATTCTAAGTTTTTTCCAAAATTATAAAAAAAAATTTCTAAATTAAATTCACAATAAAATTCAGTATAAATTTTTCAACTTACATATTACATATCAATAATATAAACATTAATGCTATCACAAAATATTTATATAATAATTAAAGTTATATTTGTCTCACTCTCTCCCACCAAACTAATCTTCACCTACATATATATTACAAGCAACATTATAATTATTTACTAACTTAACATGTATATGAAATAATTTCTTAGATATTACCATAAAATTTTGATCACAAAAAAATAACAAGTAAATATTTTTGATCATATTCTAAAATTGATGGTAATATAGTTGATGGTTTACAAGACAAAATAAAAGCAATCAATATAAACTATAAAATTACTATGTTTACAGATATCATTATTAAATAATTATTTAACACGGATAAATTTTGAAAATATATATTATTACTTAAAAATATTTATTTGAAAAAAATAAAAAAAATATTCACACATACGTGGTTTAAATGTACACAAACATGAACTCATTTCTATTTTCTTATCTGTTACATCAAATTTAAATCTTAATTTTATATATTCCAGATTTGGTTGAAGTTTAGCAATCTTTCTATTATCGTACAAATTTTATAGCTAATGTATCATTTATAATTAGCAAGTTAATTCTTAATTGTCTATTTTCGTACTTTTTATTTAAAAAAATTATTCGCTATATTTCTTAGACATGTATCTAATTATATAAATGTTGGAATTGTTTATATGATACTTAATATCGGTGATATATTTTACGCTAAAATGAAAAAAATATAAAATACAAATATAACATTTATATTTACAAATATGACTACATTTACAAATATAACACTAAATACAACACAAACTAAAATATAAAATTAAATACACGTGCGGTCGCATGGGTCAAGTTCTAGTTTTTAAAATTATTAGAGAAATATTATACTATAGATAATGATAAATTTTATATATTTTCTTTATTGTATATCAAATATTTTTATGTTAATATACATCCAATATTCTCTATATCTTTTTTTTTTCAATCTTCCTTGATACAATCAAAATCTTCTCGATCTTCCAGTAATATAGGATAATATATTACTGGAGTCACAAAGGAGAAAGTAAGAGCCCCGGTATTTGCCATCAAGGGTTCTAATGCCTCACGGACTGATGAAATGTCTGGATAATTTTCCTATATTATTGAAGTTTGATTGGAAACCAAGTAACAAATAAAGTTCAAAGATACTTCGTTACAAGCAGTTTTCCTCCAGAATGGAAGTAGACTCGATTGTTTCTTATCACAATCAAGAAGAATTCAATATTGATACCATACTTGAGATCAATGTCTTTTTTAGTGCTTTACAAGATAGTATCCAAGATATAGGTCTCTCGTAAAAAAAACTATTGCTCCCTGATTTGGTATTCCCAGCTAGTCAGCCTTTGTTTCTGCTAAACTCATTTCAGATAACATTGTGACTGCACACCAAACCCTACATGTGATAAGATATCTGAAGGCATTCTCAAGTGAGTTTCTTGCTATCAAGACAGACAAGTCAAGGGCATATTATTGTGTTGAATGGGGTTATCATCAAGATCTGCTCCTTGCACTTGGTTTGCATGCTATTTGAGGTCGGATGGATCATGACATCATGTAATGTGTCAGATAATTGTCTTACACTATTCTTATTAATGGGCAATCTCATCATGGGATGGTGAACCTTCTCGTGGTTCGAGGCAAGGGGACCCCTCCCCCTTCCTCTTCGTGTTATGCTGAAAAGGTCTTACTTTCATCCTGAATGGAGCTGCTAGCTAGGGTCTTACATCGGAATTTCCCTTTTCAAACAATTGACTAATGATCCACCACCTTTTGTTCGCATATGATATACCTCTTTTTAAGGTGGATGTATCAGATTGTTGTGTTGTGATGAATATCCTCAAGACTTACGAAGCAGCGACAGATCAGACCGTAAATTTAAATTTCAAGAATACTAATGATTATAGAGGTGACCAAGACCATAACTAAGCAATTTATTTGGATATATACGCACATTCAGATAACTAAAACGCCACACGGCCGGTCGATGTATGAACCTCCATTTCTATCGTAATTCATTTATACAAAAGCAATGTGGACCACGTACGTAAAATGTACCAAAAGGAGCATCATCACTCCTCTTTTGCCTTTATTGTTGGACCGATGCGAATATAGAAGAAGAGTGATATACATATATATATATATATATATATATATAACATGCATGCGTGATGCGTCAGGGAGAGATCGTTTTCATGAGATTCATATTTATTTAGACAATTATACGATTCTTAAATAATTAAAGATGTAACGACCATCGTGATCAGTCGTCGGATTTTTTAGCTGAATCTGAGTTTATCTTCTGGATCATCTGTTTTAGCTCTTCCTCTGACATTTTCTCTTTTTTGCTTCGCTTCTCCACATACGCCTTGAAAAATTCACTGTTCTCTTTCTCCAGCTCCTTCCAAACTGTAAAAAAAAAAAAAATCAATTTATTATGGGAACTAGTTTTTGTTAAGTGTAGCTTTTATGTTACTAGTCTATCACTAATAGTTAGATTATGCATGAACACATACAAAACATCCAAAGCTCGATCGATCATCGAATTATAATGCAAGATCAAATTCTACGTGATGGTATAGTTAGTATATATGGATATGTCTATGATACATATAGATACACATGTTATCCCGTTAGATAGTTGGTATGTATATGTAAATAAATATTTGTGTCTAAGAATTATAAGAAAATAAATGTATAAAAAGAGGAGAGAGGAGAGAGAAGAAAACCAGTAGAGGTGATGACAGGATTGATTTTTGCATGCTTAGAGAGAGCTTCCACACACTCTTCTTTGCTCATGTTGAAGATCAAACATTTTTCAATCATGCAATACACCTATATATTATACATATATATATTGAGGTTGAATAAAAGAGAAAAAGAACACTCATTAGATCGACGAAGAAGAGTCATAGAATTCTTGAATCATATAAAGAAATTATTACCATGTTAAGCTCAGTGGCAACTGAAGAAGAACCAGCCATTTGAGTTTGGGGTGAGGTTTGAATGTTTTGATGATAATAATGAAAAAGGTTTTCATGGGCTGGGTAATTATAAAGAGGAGGTAGATAGCAAAAGTTAGGTTACGAATACAATTAAGTGTTAGTTAGCATGTGGCGTTAAGCGCTAGTCAAAACTTTAGAGCTCGTTTCACACGGGCCTGGTTTATAATAATGCGGTTTAACTGTAACCAATTAGATTATGTTTTATTAGTTTTATTTTTTTAAATTTTTAAATTTAAATTTTATTTTATTTTTAAAATTTTTATATTAAATGAAATTTTTGTAAAAATTAATTGTATTACATTAAGTTTTTTTTTTGTGTGCTAAAATTTATTGTATCAAAAATATTAGGTATCATACAAACAAATCTAACATGTAGACGATATATTGAAAATATTTTTCAGTTAAAGATACATCAAATTTTGAGAAATAAGAGTTAATACGGTATACAAAAAAATGATAAATTAATTATAACATTTCTAAGAAAAAGCCTGATGTTCAAATTATATAAAATTTTAAATATATAAAACATTTGGATTGAAATTTGTGAAAGAAAAAATGAAGTATCAATTAAATGGTTACAAATTATTTATGGTTTTAATTTTGGCAGAAGAATACCGAAAAGTTTGTTGTTTGATCCGTGCAAGTGTTTGTTTTTATATATTTTATAAGTGATAATATATATTTCTAAATTTACCCATTTAAATAATTGTTTAAAACGACATTTTAAACACATAATTTTATAGTTTATATTGAGTAATTTTATTTTATCTTATAAACTATCATTATGTCATACTTATTTTAGAAATATGATCCGTATATCTGCACAAATGTTTTTTTTTAATTTTTATGGATCAAAATTTTATGGTAATGTATAACTAAACTGTTGTATCTACTATTTATAATATATGACCCTATCTATTTCTATTTTTTTAACTTTTATTATTCTGAATTTACCTTGAACTATTATTTATATAAAATATACGTAACATAAGATGTTTATATTAATCTATATATTATATATTATATAAATATTTCTTTTTGTGACTTTTATTTTAGTTATTACTTATAAATAATAAAAGTATAATTATATATCTTTGAAAACAATATTGTTCATTAACTATTTAAAGATATGTAGATAATTAATAAGAAAAAAATCCTAAAAGGTAGGTTAATTAATATTGGAATTAATTATTATGTATATGGAATTAGTAAAACAATTTCTATATAATTTATTTATTTAATTACGAAAGGTATATATAAAAATAATTATTTTCATTAATTACTGTTGCCATAATTTTTTTAGTTAAAATTTGATTTTGGAAATGCATTAATTAAAGTGAAAAAGACAAAGAATCCTATAAGATATGATAATTAATAACTTCAGTGACATAACATTGTAAATAATTAGAAAAACTCAAGGGTGTTTTATAAGTGTACTTCTATTTTAATAATAGAGAAAAAGTTTCTCAGCTACACGAAGTTTACACTAATATGGTGGAAACCATCCAATGTATAAAAATGTGTCAAGAACTACACGAAGTATATGTTAATACATGCCACATGTACGAAGTAAATGATATTATGGTGGCAACATCACAATCGGATTTAATTGTTCTTAAGCTAAGTTAATGGGGTCAATCTGTAATTTATGAAACTTAATAAACTTAATTGATTTTAATTATTAAATTTAATAAAATTAATAAACTTAATAAACATAATATTTTTTAAAACTTAATAAAATTAATAAACTTAATATTTTTTGTTAAACTTAATAAATTTAATAAACTTAATAAATTTATTAAACTTAATAAAATTATTAAACTTCATAAACTTAATAAACTTAACAAACTTAATAACTTATAAACTTAATAAGTTATTAATTTGTTAAGTTTATGAAGTTTAATAATTTTATTAAGTTTAATAAATTTATTAAGTTTAACAAAAAATATTAAGTTTATTAATTTTATTAATTCTATTAACTTTAATAATTAAAATCAATTAAGTTTATTAAGTTTCATAAATTACGGATTGACCCCATTAACTTAGCTTAAGAACAATTAAATCCGATTGTGATGTTGCCACCATAATATCATTTACTTCGTACATGTGGCATGTATTAACATATATTTCGTGTAGTTCTTGACACATTTTTATACATTGGATGGTTTCCACCATATTAGTATAAACTTCGTGTAACTTAGAAATTTTTTTCCTTAATAATATAGACTAGGTTTTGACCCGCGCGCCCGCGCGGATGTATATTTTGTTAATTGTAGAAAAACATTCATGTTAATGTTTAGATACGTGATGGAGTTCTGACATTAGTGTATTTAGTTTCAGTGGTTAGTGTCCATTTTTAAACTATGAGTTTAATTAATTTTGTTATGTGCTATTTTATTTTGATTTTATTTGTAATTAAACAATTAAGTATAGTATATTTGTGTATTATGTTTTGGTTGTGTGTGTTTCCTCCAGTTTAGATATAAATTTTGTGTGACAAATTATTAAATAGAATAATACATTATAGATATTTATAAAAATAAAAATTTTAGACAGCAAATAAAAGTACTACAAAATAGATTATACATGATTGACCAACAAATACTGATCTGTAATGGGTAATTATATTTACAAAGGGCTTATTGATGAATTGATATTACCAATTGGGTTTTCATTTAATATTAGTGATCGAAGCCCATGTAATTATTTTTTCCGGGAAATAAAAAAACAGAAAGCTCTTTGCTTTCATCTACTTTAAAGCAAAGGAAAGAAAAAAAGAGGTGAATGGCGGTTACTGGCGATTTCAAGGCGATCCTACAACGGTTACAAATTTTTATTCACTTTCTCACCACGAATTTCGTGGTTGATGATGTTTCTGCTGGCAATGCGTGGATTTCGGTGTTTCTTTTGCCCACGTTGCCCTGTTTTCCCATGTGGAAGTTACATCTTCCTCGTGATGACTTAGTGGTGCAGAGGTTCTTCTTGGATTTCCTATATAAAAAGCAAATTTGGGATAAATGTTCCTCACACAACTTTATATCATTTCTTTCTAAAATTCTGTCCTACCCTTTGAGATTAACCTCTTGTTCAACAATGGCGGATAATATACGCCGTGCAATGCAAGATATCGATCTTGGAAGTGAAGATGCTCCAGTGGCCTTACCGTTGGCAGTTGTTCAACAAGCCGCTGAAGAGAACAGATTCTTCTTGATCGGAAGACCTGTGATGCCGCGTAGGCAAAATATAAGGGGCATTCTTACAACAATGCCACGAGCCTGGGGTCTGGAGGGTGTACTCAGAGGACGTGCCATTGAAGCAAGACGATTTCAATTCATCTTTCCATCTGAAGAGGCTATGGAAACGGTGATCCGTAGAGGACCATGGGCCTACGCAGAGAGGATGTTAGTCTTACAACGGTGGACGCCATTAATGGACATGGCAATGCTAAATTTCATTCCCCTCTTGGTTCAGATTCGAGGAATCCCTTTCCAGTTTGTTAACCGTGAAGTCATCCTCTATATTGCTCGAGAAATGGGGCAATATATCCAAATGGACTACAATGAAGAAGCAGGCACTCGTTTGGAGTTTATCAGAGTTCGTTTAAATTGGAACATTAACCAACCATTACGGTTCAGACGCAATTTTCAGTTTGCTCCAGGAGTCAATACCATGCTCAGATTTTGGTATGAGAGACTTCGTGGTTTTTGGGAAACCTGTGGTATGATGACACATGACTCTGGTCGCTGTCTAATCGTCAATGGTGGGCCAGATACAGATCCAGAAGATGGAGATGATTCTTCTGATGATGACCAACCCATGGGAGACAACAACAACCTCAACACATGAGTTCACATTGAAGAAATACAAGATGGAAACGACAACCAGGAAGCAGACAATAATGCTCAGGAAGAAGTTTCCTCTGGTGCAGCAGTTGTTCAGATTGAACCAACAGATGAGGAGGACGATAATACCAGTGAAGTGGAGATTGATGGAGGAGATGATGAGTTGTGGAGTCCAACTGCTAAACGTACGATGTTCTCTGACGACATTAACATGGAGGAGATGTTTAATCCTCTCATTCCAATGGGGTTTACTCACCCGGGGCGTGAGTCTCTTAAAAGGAAATCATGGATGGAAGCTGCAGAGGGAAACAAAAGCAAACTCTGCTTTGGTGAGAAGGGAGAATCAAGTACTGCCGGCTTAAAGAGACAGAAGGATGAGGTTAAAGAATCACAAAACATGATGAGTGCTGAGCAAGTAAGTGAGGCAAAGGTTGAACCTATGGTGAGAGGCGCGGTGGGCCCAGAACCACCACTCCCACCATGAGGACATCCTGCTGGAACTGTAGAGGTCTTGGCAGTGACTCTACAGTTCGACGCCTTAAGGAGATAAATAAAAAGTATCTCCCAGACATCATTTGCCTATCTGAAACAAAACAACAAGATGACTACATTAGAGATGTTAGTGCTCAGTTGGGTTTTCTAAATTATGTAACGGTTCCCCCTTTAGGTCTTAGTGGTGGTTTGGTTTTATTCTGGAAGCATGATGTAAAGATCTCTGTTTTAAGTCTTTCAAGTCAGCTCATCGATTGTAAAGTTCTAAGTAATGAAGTTCCTTTCTATTTGTCCTTTGTCTACGGTAATCCCAATGCTAATTTGCGAAGTTATACATGGGAGTCACTTGAAAGATTGGGAATGACAAGGAGAAATGAACCGTGGATGCTACTCGGTGATTTTAATGAGATACTTGGGAATCAAGAGAAAATAGGAGGCATAATAAGACCTACTTCTACCTTTCAACATTTCAGAGACTTTGTTCGCAACAATGATCTGACAGATATAAAATCAATTGGTAATAGGTTCTCTTGGGTTGGACAGAGAGGGACTCACCACGTCCAATGCTGCCTAGATAGAACCATGGCTAATAGTAGATGGTTAAATGAATACCCGGCTTCTGAGACAGAATTTCTTGGTATAGGG